GGCTGGAGTCCAATGGCGTGATCTCGGCTCACTGCAACCTCCACCTCCTGAGTTCAAGCGATTCTCCTGCCTCAGCATCCCAAATAGCTGGGACTACAGGCATGTGCCACCACCCCCAGCTAATTTTGTATTTTTAGTAGAGACGGGGTTTCACCATGTTGCCCAGGCTGGTCTTGAACCCCTGACCTCAAGTGATCCACCCATCTCGGCCTCCCAAAGTGCTGAGATTACAGGTGTGAGGCACCAGGCTGGGCCCATACTGGATTCTTAAGCATATCCTCCACGTGTGCAGCCTGCTAGCGGGATGCCTTCTGGCACAATTGTTACACGTGCGGCATGGATAGCACACAGGTTGGTGTCTTCAAAAAGGCCAACCAGAGAGGCCTCACTTGCCTCCTGCAAAGCACTGATACCTGTGCTCTGGAAGTGCCTACCTGTTTTAAAGTCCCGAGCAGTGTCTCGCAGCAGACGCTGGAAGGGAAGTTTGCAAATCAGGTCAGTGGGTAACATCTCACCAAGAGCCAGTACTAGGCCTTGAGGATGAACCAGGGTTCTTCACCCCTCCAGTAGAGGGCGCACTCCTGTGCGTGGCTTTTGCAGCCAGCTGCTTCCTGGGTGCTTTCCTGCTGGTGGATTTGCGGTCAATCGCCTTTGTACCAGCCATGGTATAGAGCCCCCTTTACTCACCCCCTTCTCCTTCTGCTGGAGCTCCGCGAGCGAGAGGCAGTGCTGTGTTGGAGTGCGACCCCTGAGTTTTAATCAATGTTTAAAGCAATACTTGAGGCTGGGCACAGTGGCTCACGCATGTAATCCCAGAATTTTGGGAGGCCAAGGCGGGTGGATCCCTGGAGGTCAGGAGTCAAGATCAGCCTGGCCAACACGATGAAACCTTGTCTCTCAAAAAAAAAAAAAAAAAAGAAAAAACGAATTAGCTGGGCGTGATAGTCCCAGCTACTCTGGAGGCTGAGGCAGGAGAACTGCTTGAAACCGGGAGACTGAGGTTGCAGTGAGCCCAGAAGATGCCACTGCATTCCAGCCTGGGCAACAGAGGGAGGCTCCGTCTCAAAAAAGAAAATCAATACTTGCACATCATAAAAATGAAATTGGGCCGGGTGCAGTGACTCATGCCTGTAATCCCAGCACTTTGAGAGGCTCAGGTGGGTGGATCACGAGATCAAGAGATCGAGGCCATCCTGGCCAACATGGTGAAACCCCATCTCTACTAAAAACACAAAAATTATGTGTGAAAGTGGGTGCCTGTAATCCCAGCTACTCGGGAGGCAGGGGAATCACTTGAATTGGATGCAGAGGTTGCAGTGAGCCGAGATTGTGCCATTTCACCCCAGCCTGGGCAACAGAATGAGACTCCATCTCAAATTTAAAAAAAAGAAATCATACAGAAAGCTAAAAAGTAGCAGTGTATTAGTCTGTTTTCACACTGCTGACAGACATACCTGAGACTGGGCAATGTTCAAAAGAAAGAGGTTTATGGGGCTCACAGTTCCATGTGGCAGGGGTGGCTTCACCATCATGTGGGAAGGTGAAAGGCACGTCTCACATGGAGGCAGACAAGAGAAGAGGGCTTGTGCAGGGAGACTCCATTTGTAAGACCATCAGCTCTCATCAATGACATTCATTCACTATCACAAGAACAGCACGAGAAAGACCGTCCCCCATGATTCAATTACCTCCCACTGGGTCTCTCCCACAACACATGGAATTCAAGGTGAGATTTGGGTGGGGACACAGCCCAGCCCTATCAGGTAGTAGCTTCTCCTCTAACCTCAGGCTTTCTGTTCCTCACCGCAGATCCTGGCTGTCACTAGTTTCTTGTGTATTGCTCAAGAGACATCCTAAAGCCAAACAAGTGGGCATGCATACACATATGTACATCTTCAGGGGCCACGTTAAAAATATTTACCTCGGGTACAACCACCCGGAAGGAGGCCCTGGTGTACAGGATGTGCCAAAGTGCCTGCTGTCTACTACCAGTCTTGTGTTTATTCCTTGCTTTTATACATGAATTTGCCTAAGTTGCTTTTTTCATAGTGATAGTTGGAGATCGTTCCACATCGGCACAAGTAGAGCGACTTCACTCTTCAATGGTGCTGTATTTCACCCACTTTCTGCGGAAGGATCTCCAGGTTTTCCCCAGACTTTTGTTACTTGAAACAGTGCTGTAACAAATGTCTTTACACAGCCTGAATTTATCTATCCGTGGCGTAAATGTCTAGAGAAGGGAATGCTGGGGAAACAGTATGCACGTATAACATTATCATTGGCATTATTACATTTCCTTCCACCAGCAATGTACATGAGGGCCTAATTTCCCAAACGCAGGCTGACTCGGTATATCTTTATCAGCCCGAAGCATGAAAGACAGTATGTCACTGATTCGGTTTGCATTTAATCTAAGATTAAATTTTAAGTTTTGTAAAACCAAGTTTATCTCTGTCATTGGAGAAGACATCCATGAACCTGAAAGGCAACAAGCTGATGAGACTGAATTCAAGGCGAAAGGTCGCTGAGAGTGTCTGCCAACGAGGACGATGACAATAGCGTCTGGGTTTTCGCTCAGTGTCACCTCCTTCTCTGTAGAGACGGACAGCATTTGGGAGTGGCGAGTTATAGGGAAGTTTGTGGTGCTTGAGACACGCTTGAGGGTATGGGAATCTCAAGACAGGTCTGGAGAACAAGGGAGAGTAACAGAAATAATTTAGGAAAGCAAAAAGAACTTAAAGATTATCTGATCTGGGAGAGGCTTACAAAAATTAGCGTTTCAATTGACTATTTCCCGCTATTTCTGCGTTTCATTAACCGGCAGGGATCACTGGACACTCTGCCCTGAAATATGTTGGGTGTAGTTAGGGAACCTCACAGGCATCGAACCTGTCTTGTGGTGTTTTGGGGGGAATGAGATGTGCTGTGACAGGCTCTGCTTAAATATCAGTCTCCAGCCCAACCCCAGTTCATTTATTCTGAGGAAGTGATGAGCAACACAGGAATATCTGTGTCTGCCTCCAAAATCCTCACATCAGGCTGCTGAACATTCGACATGGGAACTTTGAATCACATGGAAGAGACTCTAAAGGCAGAGAAAAACAGAAAGCCTCACGATGCCCTGAAAAAACCTTGACCATCCCTGAGTTCCCCCAATACGCAAGAAAACCTGAACTATCATTGCTCTCTGTGTACACACACACACACACACCCTATCCTCACTGGATGTTGTGTTCTCTCTGTGTACACACACACACACACACACCAATCCTCACTGGATGTTATGTTATCTCTGTGCGCGCGCGCGCGCGCACACACACACACACACACACACACACACACACCCCAATCCTCACTGGATATTATCTCTGCACGCGCGCGTGCACACACACACACACACACACACACACCAATCCTCACTGGATGTTATCTCTGTGCGCGCGCGCACACACACACACCCCTCTATCCTCGCTGGATGTTATGTTCTCTGTGTGTATACACACACACACACACACACACACACACCTCTGTCCTCACTGGATGTTATGTTCTCTCTGCGCGCACGCACGCACACACACACACACACAGACACACACACACCCCTCTATCCTCACTGTATGTTATGTTCTCTCTGTGCGCACACACACACACACAAACACACACCCCTCTATCCTCACTGGATGTTATGTTCTCTCTGTGCACACACACACACCCCTCTATCCTCACTGGATGTTATGTTCTCTCTGTGCACACACACACACACACACACCCCTCCTCACTGGATGTTATGTTCTCTCAGCACACGCATACACACACACACGCCCACCCACACACGCGCACATACACACACACACCCATCCTCACTGTATGTTATGTTCTCTCTGTGTGCGCACACACACACACACACACACACGCACCCCTCTATCCTCACTGGATGTTATGTTCTCTCTGTGTGCACACACACACAAACACACACCCCTCTATCCTCACTGGATGTTATGTTCTCTCAGCGCACGCATACACACACACACACACACACACCCATCCTCACTGTATGTTATGTTCTCTCTGTGCACACACACACACTCACACATACACACACCCCTCTATCCTCACTGGATGTTATGTTCTCTCAGCGCACGCATACGCACACGCCCACACACGCGCGCACATACACACACACACACACCCATCCTCACTGTATGTTATGTTCTCTCTGTGCGCGCGCGCGCACACACACACACACACACACACACACCCCCATCCTCACCGGATCTTATGTTCTCTCTCTGTGTATTCTGAGCTTCCGATGTTGGAGTGAGGCGAGGTTTGTTAGGGTCACACCGGAGCCCACGGCGCGATGGCAGAAGAGCCCCACGGTGGGTTCCAGGTCCGCACATCGAGTCCCGCCCCCACCGGATCGGGGACGTCACCGCTCCCGTCCTCCGCTGTTTCAAAACCCAGCGGTTTTAGCCCCAGGCCCGCTTCGTGCGGCCTCCTCGGAGCTGCCCCGCTCGGATCCAAGCGCCGCGGCGGTGTTTTCTCGGGTGTTCCCTGCGGCCGCCAAGGCCCCGCTCCCGGCCCCTCCCGGCGCTGCGGCTGGGGCTCTCCCCCGGGCCCCCCTCCCCTTCCCGGCGCTCCCCCCACCCGCCCCTCGGCGCTCCCCCTCCCCCTCCCGGCGCTCCCCCCTCCCCCTCCCGGCGTTCTCCCTCCCCCGGCGCTCCCCCTCCCCCCCGGGGGCTCCCCCCCGCCGCTCCCCCCACCCGCCCTCAGGCGCTCCCCCTCCCCCCCCCAACGCAGTGCTCCCCCCTCGCCCTCCGGCGCTCCCCTTCCCCCTCCCCCCCTCCCGGCGCGGTGCTCCCCCCCGCCCGGCGCTCCCCCCATCCGCCCCCCGCGCGGCGCAGCAGCTGGGCCCAAGACTCGCCATTGGGTTAAAACAGCAGCGTCGCCAGCCCCAGCCCCAGCCCCGCGCCGCCGTCCCCGCCCCGCGCGCACTCGGCTCCGGCGGCGCGGTCCGCTCCTCTCCGGCCGCAGCTGCGTCCTCGCGCTTGGGGCGGCCATGCAGCGCCGGGGCGCCCTGCTGGGAATGCCGGGCGGCAGGAAGATGGCCGCGGGGGACCTGGGCGAGCTGCTGGTGCCCCACATGCCCGCCATCCGCGTGCCCAGGTCGGGGGACCGCGTCTACAAGAGCGAGTGCGCCTTCTCCTTCGACTCCCCCGTAAGTCGGCGCCGGGGGCGGGGGCCGGGCCTGGGACCTGCCCGCGCGGCGGACTCGGCTCCGGGACCCTCGGGGAGCCACAGCCCCTGCGGCCGAGGCCGGGTCCCCGGGCTGCTCCCCAGGCTGGAAGCGCCGCCCCCGGGAAAGACGCGAAATCCCGGCGCTCCCGGCGGGACCCGCACCTCGCAGATGGTTCGCGTCTCCCCCGGGCCGGAGCGCGGGGCAGGAGGGCGGGCCGAGCCCCCCGACCCCGACCGCGGCGCTTCCTTCTCCTCCTGCCCGGGCCGAGCCCCCGCGCTCCCGGGACCACCTGCTTTGCCCGGGACCCCGCTCTCGGCAGCTCTGATGTGCCCTCCGGCTTCTCTTCCTCCACGTCCCATCCCGCCCCCTCCTCCTCTGCGTTTGGTTCGTCGGGGCCGGACGGCGCGGAGGCCCCCACCTGCCATCCCAACACTTTGGGAGGCCGAGGCGGGTGGATCACCTGAGGTCGGGAGTTCGAGACCAGCTTGGCCACCATGGGGAAACTGTCTCTACTAAAAATACAATTAGCCGGGCGTGGTGGCGCGCACCTGTAACCGCAGCTACTCGGGAGGCTGAGGCGGGAGAAGCACCTGAACCCGGGAGGCGCGGAGGTCGCAGGGAACTGAGATCGCGCCACTGCACTCCAGCCTGGGTGACAGCGAGACTCTGTCTCAAAGCAAAACAGAAATGAGAATGTCAGAAGAAACCCTCGGTGCCTCCCCTCGGGCAGCAGAAACAGGGGTTCTGCTGGACTGTGGCAGTTTTCTTAAACCTTCCCCCTCAACCCTTCCAAATGAGCCACTGGGACTGACACGCGCAAGTGTGAATTATTGAAAGTTCAGTCCCGAGTCGTGACCCGGGGAAGGGAGCGGAAGCCGGGAGGGATCGCGGCGGCTGGTGGTGGTTTTCACCTGGTTCTGTGTGAATGTGTGTGTCCGTCTCAAGAGTCAAAACGGGCTTCAAAGTGACTCAGCTGTCTGGCGTTCATCAGGCCTTTCTGAGGACCAGGTTATTTTTATACACCCACTTTAGAGCTCATATGTCACCCGGCAGATCTCAACGCCTCGGGAGGCCCATGGATTGGACGGGCCGAGGCAGGTCTCACAATTGTCTAGTACATTTTATTCATAGTGTGTGGAGTACTGTCAGAGGGGGAAAGAAAGTCCAAATGAGCGGCAACGTTTCCAAAGTTTCCTTTACGATCCATGGGTTGATTTTGTGTGGCTTCGAAGAGTTTTTGCTCCATACGCATTGGAGTCTCAGAATTAGTATCCTCTCTGTGACATTTAGTTTTTTTATTTACCGTAATTGCAGATCATTTGAGGGATAAAATCTAACTCATTTGTTGATCGCTTACTTTGTTTTTTCTTTCAAAAAGACCCACAGAGTGGAGTGTGACAATCGGCAGTCCTTTTATATACAGGATGTGGTCCATGTGTTTGAGAATGCCGTTTTCAGATGGTACGGCCAGCGCCCGGCAGTTCCCACCACTAGCTCCTAAAGGTGGGGAGGGATGAGGGGCCTAACCTCAGGTTCTTACCCCTAGAAGAAGAAAGTGGCCTCAGTCTTTTAGGACAGCACGACATGGAACGTGGGTCAGATGACTTTCTCCATGTTTGATTCGGGCTCTTCTTCAAGTTCTGCTTACAAACTTTGCTCTTGGAAATGCTTGCTGCATGATGTAGTACATGGCAGGTGTGGGGAAAAAAAGCTGATTGTTTTAATTCACTTTCACAAATAGTTATTGGGAGCTTACTCTGTGTGTCTCTAGAATGTTACTATTCTAGAAACATCTTATCCAGTGTAGACTGATTATTTCAATCATATCACAGCAGTTCCTTGGGGGAGACTGGGATTTATTTACAAGGCTGATGAATCAATGTATTTCATTATCTATGTTTCAGGGGAGGAAGGGAAGGAAGGTTTGACAATTCTTAATAATTCTTAAATTCTTAAAGCACAGTGTTTGATAATGAGAAGTTTTTCTTTTTTTTTTAGATGGAGTTTCACTCTTGTTGCCCAGGCTGGAGTGCAATGGTGCAATCTCAGCTCATGGCAACCTCTGCGACTGGATTCAAGCTGTTCTCCCGCCTCAGCCTCCCAGGTAGCTGGGGTTACAGGTGTGTGCCACCATGCCTGGCTACTTGTGTATTTTTTATAGAGATGGGGTTTCGCCATGTTGGTTAGGCTGGTCTTGAACTCCTGGCCTCAAGCAATCTACTCACCTTGGCCTCCCAAAGTGCCGGGATTGCAGGTGTGAGCCACTGCACCCAGCCGGTATTTTGTTATGGTATGTGACACTACACTAAAATTGGATAAGGGTTTCTTCAGCACTGACTGTGTGCCATCTCATACATGTATGCCTGTTAGGAACATAGCAAAATCCATGGTGCTAAACACACTGGAAACTTTAATCCACAAGTGCGGTGGGAGGTCTTAGGGAAAAGGCCAAAGCCAGCTGAGTGGGAAAACAAAATTATCCTTGAATTGGTTACTTTTGAAAGAGGTTACATACAAAGATGGATAGAAAGCATGGGAGAGCAACATTCCAGGGGAGGGAAATTATACCTGCAAAGAAGATATAAAGTGTGAATATTTTCTACTAATTTGCCTGTGATGTATTTGGAAACAAAGATACATTTGGCAAGCAACAAGAAGTGAGGTAGAACCAAGCAGAGAGTAGATGACGAGGAGGTGGAATGGGGAACCTTTCATCTTGCTTGTATAGGGTCAGTTACGGAAAGCTGTTCTTGGTCATGTGACTTAGAGTGGTGCCGGAGGAAGGCTGTGAATCAAGACATCTTTATCACATGCCTGCGTGTCTCAGGCCCGTCTGTAGACCTCTGCCATTCTGCACGTTTGTGGGAGATGAGTACTGTCCCAGCATCTCTCCTGCCTTTTCCCACTGCCGAGGGCCTCACACACAGCAGATGCTCAACAACCGCTGTTTTGGGATAAGGGAGCATTGCGGTCACGTAGCCCTTTGACTTCACCCTAGGCCCACCCAACCACCTTGACGTGTAGCTTCCCCTCTCTATGGCTTGGTTCATTGCACAAGGTCCGTAATGCGCCTTCCCAATGGAGCTTCTTTTCTGTTCTTTTTTTGAGATGGAGTTTCGCTCTTGTTGCCCAGGCTGGAGTGCAATAGCTTGATCTTGGCTCACTGCAACCTCCGCCTACCGGGTTCAAGTGATTCTCCTGCCTCAGTCTCCTGAGTAGCTGGGGTTACAGGCATACACCACCATGCCCAGCTAATTTTGTCTTTTTTTTTTTTAGAGACTGGCTTTCTCCATGTTAGTCACACTGGTCTCAAACTCGTGACCTCAGGTGATCCTCCTGCCTTGGCCTCCCAAAGTGCTGGAATTGCAGGTGTGAGCCACCGCCCCCAGCCGGAGCTTCTTTTCAAGACTAATTTCAAGTGGTTCTTGTTCTATGAATAATTTCCATATCGCGTCCCCCCAGACCCCGTAAGCATTCCTGTCTAACCCCTGGTGACATGTTCACGTGCCTGTCTTTGCCTTTGAGTGCCGGCTTCCTGGAGAGTGGAGGCTTTGTGTTACTCCCATCAGCTGCCTAGCATCTGGCATATACACCAGGACCTCAGTGAAGGCTTTGGAAATGTGTGAATTCCATGGAGTTACAGGCTCTGCACCTGGTGAGGATGAAACACATGGGAAATGATGAGAAAGGAATCATGGGGGATTATCACATAGAATGTGGCAACTTCACCGACTGTGGGGAACAGACGTGATGGAGACAGTCCAGACTGGCTGTTTGAATCCTGTCTCTTCACCCAGTGTGTAACTTCTCAGAGCCCCAGTTTCTCTATTTGTAAAATGGAGACAATAACAACCTATCTCAAAAGGCTGTTTTGTGGATTAAATAAAACATCAAGTGTGTCTGGCCAGTTAGTGATTGCATATATATTTGCTTTAAGAAAGGAAGAAAGGCCGGGCATGGTGACTCACACCTGTAATCCCAGCACTTTGGGAGGCTAAGTTGGGTGGATCACCTGAGGTCAGGAGTTCGAAACCAGCCTGGCCAACATGGTGAAACTCCTTCTCTTCTAAAAATACAAAAATTAGCCAGGCATAGCGGTGCACGCCTGTAATCTCAGCTACTCGCCTGTTTGGGGGCTGCGGTGTGGTGGCAGAAGAATTGCTTGATCCCAGGAAGCGGAGGTGGCAGTGAGCTGAGACTGCGCCACTGTTCTCCAGCCTGGGTGACAGAGCGAGACTCTGTCTCAAAAAGATAAAAAAATGAAAGGAGGAATGAGAGAATGGAAGAAAGAAAGAAAAAGAGGCAATTGCATGTTGTAAGCCCGAGTCTGGTTGTCAGGGTTACGCAGGAAGTTCTGTGTGCTTACGTGGAGGAGGGACATCTTGGTTCACACTTCCGCTCATAGCCTTCCTGGACCAGCATGGACACCCCCTGTCTCTGTGGTTGTTGAGCTACTCATTGTCGGGGTGTACTCTGTCCTGTGTCTCTTCAGTTCTCAGGTGGTCAGCTCCAGTGAGGTGAGCCTCTGGCTTGTCCATGCATGAGACTCATTAATTTTCTTCCTCCCTTCCTTCCCTTCGTTCCCTTCCTTCTCTCTCTCTCTCTCTTTCTCTCTTTCTTTCTTCTTTTCAGAGTCTCACTCTGTCACCCAGGATGGAGTGCAGTGGCATGATCTCGGCTCACTGCAACCTCCGCCTCCCAGTTTCAAGCCATTCTCCTGCATCAGTCTCCCAAGTAGCTGGAATTACAGGCACCCAGCTTACTTTTTGTATTTTTAGTAGAGATGGGATTTCGCCATGTTGGCCAGTCCGGTCTTGAACTCCTGACCTCAGGTGATCCACCTGCCTCGGCCTCCAAAAATGCTGAGATTACAGGATTACAGGCCGGAGCCCCTGTGCCCTGCTGACTCATTTCGTTTTCTAAGACCACCTTCCTCTGTGATCATTTGTCGGGGCTCAGACTTCATCCTTTCCTCTGAA